CCTTTGTTGCAGTTTGCATGCCGCAAGCATGTAGGAGAATTCATGCTTAGCAACTGTCAGGATTCACTCAATATAGAGGCTAATATTCAACTTTTTACAAGGTAAGCCTTATGATTTTACAACATTGTTGAACAAAAGTTTATTTTATTGATTAAATAGACTTAACCCGACGGGCATTTGTTTTTAAAAGATACTTTCTAAATGTGTTTTAAACGTCTTTTAAACGTCTTTTAAACATTAATGTTTAAAAGACGTTTAAAAGACATTTAAAATACATTTAGATCGTAACTTTTAAAAACAAATGCCCGTCGGGAAGTAACTTAAAAATAACTTAATTAGACTCAAGCGGTTTTAACTAACAAAATGATTATAAATTTTTTCAGATTCAAGAACTATTAATGGAAACTTCTACCAGTTAATAAAGCAAAATTTTACTATCCTGAACTTCCTAGAGCAACTGAGAAGGAAAAAGAAGGCTTTACAAATTGCTTTCGTGAATTCCTTGCGTTAGGTTTACTCGAGGGGATAACCAAGAACTTATTGAACTCAGTCTGTTATAAGTTACGAAAGGATCTGAACCTCAGAAGATTAGCACGATGAACCCTTGAGCTTTGCACAAAAGTTGAGCGGCAAAACTTCTGTACACTGTGAAAATAGTCATACTGTCCAAAAAAATAATTGAGCAGTTTCCTAATTCAGAAGTTGCAACAAAAAATCAAATTAAGAAATTAGAACGTTTCTGTGTATTTGCTGTTAGCGTCTACGTGTAGCAAACACATAGAAACGGTGGTGGTGTATGGTGGATTAAATGCCCGCATTTAGCTGATGCTCCAGTCAACAATTTTAGTCAAAAAACTGAAAAAAGTTTGTAAACCATGATTCTGTAATTGCTGACAAGAAAATAAAAGCTCTTAGCAGACATATTTGGTATATGAATGAAGATCTTGTTTCATTAGCTTTGTTCTTACCAATGGTATCTGATAAAGATAAAAAGAATATGAGACTGCGGCTTCTCCAATTCAAAAGAGATGAAAGTACTACGGAGTGTGTTAGAAAGTTCTTTAAAAAGCCTAACCTAAAGCCAATTTTAGAGGAGATAAATTCACTAAGTAATTTGATTGGTCATGGATCAATGAAGTTTTTATTGTTCTCTATGAGCTTCATCAAACACCATTATGTTCCCTATGATCTTCTTCCCATTATTCCCTATTTTCCCATTATCCCCTATTTTCCCAATATTTCCTATTTTCCCAATATTTCCTATTTTCCCAATATTTCCTATTTTCCCAATATTTCCTATTTTCCCAATATTTCCTATTTTCCCAATATTTCCTATTTTCTCATTATTTCCTATTTTCTAATTATTTCCTATTTTCTCATTATGCTCCTTATTTAACCATTATACTCCCTGTTTCTTCAAACACCATTATGCTCCCTATGAGCTTCTTTAAGTACCAGTCAATAAATGGAAAAAAAAGATGACTTTCTTGAGATTTCAAGACTATTGTTCAAAGTCTTCTTGTAGTCAACAAAGCTGCTGAACAAGGATTAAGGCTACATCGTAATTTTTTAGGTGTAACAAAAGAAGGATGAAAGGTTTCAAGATTTTAAGTAGTTGAAAGTTTACACACAAAAAAAAAGGACAAAAATTTCCTGCGCAAATTATTACCACGTTTTCATATCGATTTACTAGGTAATCGTTTATATTGATGATAAAAAACATAAATTAGACTACAATTTTTATTATAATTAATGAACATTGTAAATATTATATTACTTAATTGGATGAAAAAAATTGCGTTTTTTATCCTTAAAATTGCATTTTAGTTTAAAAAGATAAAAATTCAACAATTCAAAGTAATATTTATTTTGATTGTGCTGGGTCAATTATATGAAAATCATAAAAATACAAAACTACGATAGAATAGTTGTCAGTATTAAATGCAAAACTAGATTAGTTACAGTATAAGATATTTTTTTCTGCTAGATGTTTTTACAGTCTGTTACATTCAATGCAGTCAATTAGCGTTGAAAAGTTAATTGACTGCATTTAAACTTGTTCTTTAAAATGTTAGTCTCATTGAAATTTTGGCTCATAAAAATGGTAGTCTTGTCACCAGAATTAAAATAGGTGTAATATTGTAAATCTTAAATTTATTTGGAGTACGATTTGATTTAAGAGATAGATTATGAATATGAATTAATAAAGCTTTGATAATCAGGGGCGGATCTAGAATTCAGTGCTAGAAGATTTACTTGAAGGGTGTGTTTGGGAGCGGATTTACCAACCAAAGTTGAGGGATTAGTGGGGGGGCAAGGGAGTTTTCTGCGTATTGATTATTTTCTACACATATAATCTTATGCTATCAAACAACACGGGATTACATGATTTTCGAGCTTGACCTTTTCATAGATATAATGTGTATGGGAGTTCTGAAACGACTTGCCCTATAGTTTTTCTAATTATTTTAATTATTTTTTTAATGTGCATCAAAATTGCACATTGGATAAGACATCTAAATTATAAAATTGATTTAATAATACCAATTATTTACAAACTACTTAACACCAGTTTACAAACTAGTTAACACCAGTTGATTACAGTCTTCTATTTTATAAACACAGTAGACTACATTAAGTTCATAAACAAATATAATAACACCATTTGACTGCAGGTTCTTTATTAAAAAAACAAACCATTTACATGTGCTCAAGACAAAATTAACCATGTTAACGTGTGCTCAGGACAACAACCATGCCTGGGTAAATGTATCCCAAGTCAAAATCAATGAAGCAGTCTCTAATCATTAAAGAGCGTATTCTTTATTCGAAAAGCTTCAGAGCACGTTCTGGTTTGAAAGGTGTTAGAGGAAGAGTGAAAGTAATTTGTAAAATAGTATATATAATAGAGCATCTCTCTTTTTGTATTTCATCAAACAACTTTTTTAGACTAATGTGTTTGTTACATGAAAATCAGAAAAAGAATTTGAAATTGTGAAGTTGGTTTTCTAGTTCTTCAGAAACCTACTATAAAACAAATATCTAGCTTTCAAATCTTGAAGCATTGCAAATAAAAAACATACGAAATAAGTATGCTGTTGCAATCTAAATAACGTCTATTTAATTTTTTTATGGTTCAAATCATCACAATTTATTTATGGTTCAAATCATCACATCGCATTCAAAATAAAATAAAACAAACGAATTTTTGGTAATGGTAGTGATGGTGGGAGGGGGTTGAAGAGATTGGGGTAATGTATTACTTACATAACCTCCTCCTCTGTATCCACGCTTGATAAAATATTAGCAGATCTAATTATATTAAAGTTTGATCTATACTAGTACTTTTTTAAAAAAGAAACCATTAGATTCATTAGTAGTTCACTTTTGTTTTAATTAGGTTTACCCGTAATTATATCCATTGGTGTAAGACCAAATTCAAAATACTTTTTTTAATGGAGTCTTTGCTGCTAAATTTAAACATTACAACTTATTCAACTGGATTGTTTTTGTTTAACACATATTTTCTTTAATGCTAAAAAGTAAACACTTTTCGGAGCAGTGTTAAAATATCTAATGCAGCTGCGGATAAAAGAAGAACACAGCAAACATTTTTTCGTTGTTTCGACATTAGTATTTAGTAGATTCTTCGACGTCACATTTTTACGACAGCTCTCAGTACTTTTGAAGTCAAAAATTAATCAATTGGATTGACTAATTTTTAGTTCAATGAAAACATTTTTTTAACTTATATTTGCGTTTATAGTTAATTAAATTTTTCAACTTTTCACAAACTTATTCATAAAAAGTAATATAGTTCTTAATTTCATATGTTGTTTGTTTGATATTGAAGTGATTTACTCGATACCTTGTAAAAATCATCAACAATTAGTTTCCCCACTTTTAGCAGTTTTTAAAGACAGCTGCTTCATTTCATAGAAAGCATTTCCATTACATGTTTGTCTTACTTTTAAAAATTCTGCGTTTTGATTATTTCACTTTCTTTTTAATTGATATTTTTAGATATTACAAATTTTGAACCAAGTTTTGCTTTTTTAAAAATTGTTTTAAATTACTAAGTGTTTCGAAACAAGGCATGAGCGTTCTTTACTAAAAAGTACATCAAAGGTTTGTCCGAAATTATATCCTTTGGTATAAGATATAATTCAAAACTAAGTTATTGTTATTATTTTTAAATTGCTTATTACCTTCAGCACCTATGTTTTATTTGTTTTGTTGTTGCTTTTTCTAACTGAAAATTGATGGAATAATATGTCTATAATTATAAAAATTTAAGTTGTTACTTTGTCTCAGTGGATACTTTACCATATAAAAAAAACGCTTCTTCTTTAGTTTTTTATACTTTTAAAGTGACTGCATATTAAAGGTCTTGTAAATTTAATTTATTTAATATTCAGTTATATCTAACAACATAAAATAGAAGACCAACTCAAAAGATTTTACGACTACTTCTCTAAAACCTTTTTGAAACCTTTGTTTCATTATATATATATATATATATATATATATATATATATATATATATATATATATATATATATATATATATATATATATATATATATATATATATATATATATATATATATATATATATATATATACATATATATATATATATATATATATATATATATATATATATATATGTATATACATATATATATATATATATATATATATACACACGCACATATATATATATATATATATATATATATATATATATATATATATATATATATATATATATATATATATATATATATATATATATATATATATATATATACAAATACATATATCATTTTATATAATTATAATGAAACCTATATATATATATATATATATATATATATATATATATATATATATATATATATATATATATATATATATATATATATATATATATATATATATAAATATATATATAAGTATGGATATTTATATCAAATTTTAAAAAGAAATATTTTTACCTTCATGCGTTAAATGCGTTGGTTACATAACCCAAATTATTTTTCATTTGAAATGAGGTTTCTTTAAATGGGCAAAACACAGAGTAACTGATCTGGTTACACCATTGTGACCACTTGATTGCTCAGGAAATTCTTTGACGATGCCATATTTGCCACTTAGCTACTCTATTATAACATACAAAACACGCTTGAAAAATAAAATATACAATACTCCCTTCTCCTCCTTTTCTACCAAAATTGCAAGAACTATACCTATAAAAAAAAAAGACTATCATATTAAATGAGAAAGATTTTACGCCTGTTATAGTAATGAATATGCTCCAGTTCGTAGTCACGCGAACTTTCTAATATTTTATATCTATGATCTTAAATCAACATATTTTATATAATGTTTTGTAAAAACTTTTACTTTTAGTTCTATTGATCTAGTGGTATAGTGTAAACATAAGCTAAAACATAACAATAAGTAATAAAACTGCTTAAAATGCACAATTTAGAACTTCTTATTTTTGCTATATAAAACAAAAACAGTCGATTATATATATATATATATATATATATATATATATATATATATATATATATATATATATATATAATATATATATATATATATACAAATACATATATCATTTTATATAATTATAATGAAACCTATATATATATATATATATATATATATATATATATATATATATATATATATATATATATATATATATATATATATATATATATATATATATATATATATATATAAATATATATATAAGTATGGATATTTATATCAAATTTTAAAAAGAAATATTTTTACCTTCATGCGTTAAATGCGTTGGTTACATAACCCAAATTATTTTTCATTTGAAATGAGGTTTCTTTAAATGGGCAAAACACAGAGTAACTGATCTGGTTACACCATTGTGACCACTTGATTGCTCAGGAAATTCTTTGACGATGCCATATTTGCCACTTAGCTACTCTATTATAACATACAAAACACGCTTGAAAAATAAAATATACAATACTCCCTTCTCCTCCTTTTCTACCAAAATTGCAAGAACTATACCTATAAAAAAAAAAGACTATCATGTTAAATGAGAAAGATTTTACGCCTGTTATAGTAATGAATATGCTCCAGTTCGTAGTCACGCGAACTTTCTAATATTTTATATCTATGATCTTAAATCAACATATTTTATATAATGTTTTGTAAAAACTTTTACTTTTAGTTCTATTGATCTAGTGGTATAGTGTAAACATAAGCTAAAACATAACAATAAGTAATAAAACTGCTTAAAATGCACAATTTAGAACTTCTTATTTTTGCTATATAAAACAAAAACAGTCGATTATATATATATATATATATATATATATATATATATATATATATATATATATATATATATATATATATATATATATATATATATATATATATATATATATATATATATATATATATATATATATATATATATATATATATATATATATATATATATATATATATATATATATATATATATATATATATATATATATATATATATATATAATCGACTGTTTTTGTTTTATATAGCAAAAATAAGAAGTTCTAAATTATGCATTTTAAGCAGTTTTATTACTTATTGTTAATCAATAAACCAATAGTTATTATAAGTTAAAGAATGTAGTAATATCAATGATAAACCTTTAAATTCTTTTAAGGATTAAAATCTAAATTAATTAAATTGGTTCAAGTAAGCAACATAAATTAAAGTAAATTAAGATAAATTATTTAATCAATAATTTATTTAAATGGAATAATAAAAAAAAAATAGAACAATTTTTATCTAAAATGATTTTCACAATAAATTTTCTTTTTTTTCTTTTATAAACTTATTTTAAATTTTTTTTTGCAATCCTGATTTGACATCAGCATTAACATGTAAAAGTCTTATTGTTTTTCATGCTCAAGCACTACCGATGTTAAACACCAAAAAGACTTGACTACTAACATTTTAAAACACACAAATTTTAAAATAAAATACAATTAAAACGCAAATTTTGAATATATTATAAATTAAAAAAATATATACAAACTAAAATGTATGAATTAAGCCTATGAATAACGGTCACACATAGGAAAAAAATTCCAAATTATTTTTTTCAATTTCTTGTTTGTTTTCTGTTTGTGATATAGAGTTAGAGGGTTTAGAAATAGAAATATCTTTAACTTGTCATTAAAATAAAAATTGTCTTACACAAACTAAATAATAAAGCAGCCGTAGTGCAGTGGTTAGGGTTTCGGCTCAGAACAAAAAAGTGCCAGCTCTGGCTAGATAGGCGACATTGGTACGAAAAGAGATGTGAACTTCCTAGTTAAATGCTTTATGTGGGCTTTTGTTATAGGACTGATAGATTAGTTTTATGACTTAATGTTTTAATTTTTTTTTTTTTTTTAATATTAAAAGATATTTCTCTTTTAAATAATAATAGATTGACGCCGAATCTACAAGTTTTTTTCTAAACTTTTTGAAAGAATAATTTACATTAGGCTGTTTTTAGTTATTTTATTTGTTGTAGTTTTTACAAACTACAACATTTTAATTGAAAATCGGCTTTACAATATAAGAAAAAGTCAAAAAAAAAAAATGTAAGGAAAAAAAAATAAAACGAACTAGTTCAACTTGAAAAACACACGAGCAGTAGTTTGTAGTTACTGTCCAAAAATCTTAAAAATTTTTTCACTAGGCATTACCAAAGACATAAATAACAAAAAAAAAAACAAAAAAAAAACAGCTCCTTAACTTTGAAAAAAAAGAGCCCCCTAAAATAGCTGGCCACGGCTTTGCATATTATATCATACATAGCAAATTTAACGATAATTCTAGTAATATTTATTATAAACTATTTGATAAATTATTCTTATTATAAAAGGCGATCCTTCTAGTTTGTAAAGTATTAAGTAAAGAGCGATTATTTTTACTTTTATTTAGGAGTCATTTTTACATTTAACCTTAATCAGTTGTCATCAAACTCGAATCAAACTCTTGGTATGCTAAAAATGACATTCACCATCGTTGATGAAAAAAATGGCTCTTAAATTATATAAAGTGTTTATAAGACCACCCCTTAATTATGCAGTGTCTGTTTGGGCCCCATATTCAAAAACTGACGTAGCTTTGGTTGAATCTGTTCAACGTAAAGCAACAAAATGGGTTTTAAACTTGAGAAACCTTTAATACTATGAAAGACTAAACTTACCATCACTCGAGTTTCGGCGCCTACAAATTTTTAAACTAATACATCGATTTGATATAATTAATAATATATATCAACCAAAATTTATTAACTCATTGTCACGTGGTCACCATCTTAAAATAAGACGTGAATATGTTTCAAACTGTCTTCCAAGACACAAAAAATTATATAATAGATCTGCAAGATACTGGAATGAACAACCCGAGCAAGTAACTTTATACTCCACTGTACTTTCTTTTAAAATTAGATTAGATAACTGGTTGAGGCTAAAATTCGGAACGAATATTTATAAAACTGGTTGTTTGTAGTAGGGAGTTTTCCCTGCTCACTGTATGTATATATGGTATGTGTATTTAACGGCTACAACTATAATAATAATAATAATAATAATATTAATGACAAGTCATAAAACTTTTCATAAACCAAGGATTACAAGCGGTTCATAAAATTTTTTTAAAAATAAAAAAACCAAAACTAAGCAAATGTTGCACATAAAATGTTTAAAGACAAAACCTTATGCAAATGAAAAAGTAAATAAAAACTTATTTGAAGAAATCCAAATAAATTAAAAAAAAAATACAATTATTATTCGAACCTGATAAATAATAATAAAAGCATGTAAATGCACACCAGGTAGATTTTAAAAGAAATAACAGAAAAATCAATAAATCGCCTAGGCATCCGCGGTAAACCATTAAACTTGAAAATCTAAATATATAAGAACCGAGCAAATTTGCGAGCATAGTTTATAAATTTTTTATTGTATTTGAAACCAATTTCTCTAATTGGATTCCTACCACCGAAAGTTCGTTTAAAGCCTTCTTGTATCCTCTAAACAATTCTTTTTAAAATAATTAATTTTTATAAAGTCTTTAAATCTTATAAAAGAAATATAGCAATTGTTGCAGATGGAACTAGCGGTAACATAATTATAGATTATTACGAAGGCCTATACTGTAAAACGAAACGGTTTTTTAGTGGTTTTTTAAAAAACTACTTGGTTTTTCAAAAATCGATTTTGGATTTTCAATTTTTTAAAAATCCAATTGGTTTTATACTAGAAGTGTTAAGTTATACGGTTTTTTAAAAAACCAAACTATACTTAGGGCGTGCACTTTTTAATAAATTAGAGTTAAAAATTTTGCAAAAATGGCTGGAGTCTTTGTTAACATTTTGCCAGTATAAACTATATTTTTTAACTCAAAATATTGCCTTAAAAAAAAGCATTGCTTTTAGGAACAACCTGAAAATTGTTACAATAACATTATTATAAAAACATATGCTTGTCTTAGTAAATTAAAATGTGCAAGCATAGTTTTGTAATACTGCTGTTGTGATATTTGTATATGTAAATATATTTTTTTAAATATAAATTTTGCACGATGTCAATTATAATATAAGCAACACTTTTTCCACAATAAATACAACTGATTGATGTTGCCTAAAGCTTGATGTCTAGGAGTAACTGTCAGTTATATATTTTTTTATTATTCATCGTATAATTTTATTTAAATTACAGTTAATGGTTGGTGCCAAATTTTAGAAGTTTTAAGTAACGTCTAAGAGTTATGTTTTTTATTGGTTCAGTTATTCATAACGTGTTACCTGCAAGTTACATATATTTATTTTAAAAAAAAAAAATCTAGAGGCTTCTTTGTATTATTTGAATTTATTTTTGATTAAATCTGCCTCTTTATTATAGTATTAGCTATTGTTAAAAAGTATTTGCTAGTTGATGTTTTACTGGTTCTTACTTCATTTTGTATTGTAGCTATTGTTAAAAAGTATTTGCTAGTTGATGTTTTACTGGTTCTTACCTCAATAGAATTAACATACATTTATACGACCTTTCCAAAATCAAAAATTTAATGGAATAAATAGCAGTGGTAAGTAAAAATTTTCTCTTAATAAAAATTTGAAGATGGCACTATCTAAATTTGTTATTGATCTAAAAATGTGGATTGTGCTCAGTAGATATGTTTTAAACTTAAAATTTTTAAAAAATATTTTTATACTTCTTTATGGAATTAGATTTCCAGTGCTATAGCCCTGAGCCCCACAGTTTTAGAGGATTCGATTCATAGAAAAATATATGTTTAAAAAAACTCTGAAAATAAATTTTTTTGATTAATCATGGAAAGAGGCCTTCTGCTTTAAAATAAACCTGGACCCCAAAAAGTTTTGCTTCACAACTGTTCATTGCCATAATACATTATATTTTATATGCAATCCAGGAATAAAAATGTACAAGGAAAAGCAGTTTGCAAATTGATGGTGTATTTTTTTGGCATATACCTTCAACTGTTCTGCATAAAAATTGTACACATGAATAGGAAGGAACCTTGATGTGGTTCATGTGCTTTAAACAAATACCTTCCAGACAGATACTCTTGTCAACCATTTGGTTCATAGTCAACCATTATACTGTGGAGGTGGAACATGAGCGTATATTATGAATTAAGTTCAATAGATAGAAAGCTCAAATTTTTTCCTTAAACCCTACTTGACTGTACAATTTGTATTTATGAAGTAGTAATATTCAGGTTTTAAGAATCATTTTGAAATTAATTTTGATTATCAAAATGGTTTTCTTTACTTATAGTGTGTACACTGGATTTTTGAAAATATAAACTTGCTTAGATGGATCAAATGTTCACAATTGATAAATTGGTAGGGGGCGTTTCTTTGGCACCTGACAGTAGTTGTGCATAAAAGGGGCTGGGGATGATATTTTTTATGAATCTGTGCAACAAAAATGCATTAAAACAATTAAGAGCGCTCCCGGTTCGATTAAAAACTATTAAAACTAAAAATTTATTA